TGCGAAGGAGAGGCTTATTTTGTGTGCCAGCTTTGGTGAAAGGCAGTTGAATCCAGTCATTTAGACCCTGCTGCAGGACGTCTTTCATCTTTCATTGTTGAGGTTAAGCATCCAGAGCATTAGAGGATACTTGTTTCCCAGGTCACTTTCACAGTCATTGTTGTGATATTTCCTGAAGAGTGTAACTGTTCTTTAAAATGAAGGGAAGGGGAAAAAACCTTTTCTTTATTAAAGGAGTTGGATTAATAGAGTTAGGAATAAAACAGCAGCCTACAATTTACTTGGTAATTCAGAGAAGGGTATCATGTATTTTGGAATTTAGCTAAGAGTGCTTCTGTCCAGAAGTTTCCTGAGATGTGGATCACAGAGGAAAGATAACTGAGGGGCATCCAAGAAATGCTCAGAACAATCACACAATTGTTTTAGTATTAGTTTGTAATGAATTTATCCTGTGTGAGAAAAACTGTTTTATATGTTGGTATTTGGCAGATTGCTCAGAGAGAGCAGCGCTGTCTGATAGGAATGTAACACAAGCTACATGCGTAATTTTAAATTTTCTAGTAGCTATGCTAAAAAAAAGTTAAACAGGTGAAGTTAATAATTTCAATAATATTTTGTTTAACTCAATACATTCAAAATATTATTTCTACATGCAGTTAATTTAAAAAAATTATTCATGATGTTTATTTTAATTTTTTTTTTTTTTGGTATTAAGTTAACTGAGTGTGTATTTTACACTTACAGCACATCCCGGTTTGAGACTAGCCACATTTCAAGTGCTCATTTGCCACATGTGATTGGTGACTACTGCTTCAGACAGGCAGTTTTTAGAGTATGAAGTAGGGTGCCTTTTAACTCTTTCACCTTTTTGCTAGGAGGCATGTTGAACACTTTAAGCCATTATCATTTGCATAATAAGTGATTGTTAGTATCATTAGGCCATTCAGTGCTTAAGCCATTCGAGATTATTAGTATCATTTTTATTCTGAAGAAATTATTTTCTTAGTATCATGAACATTGATTATAGACTACGAAAAAATTTTTTTTTTCTTTTGTGAAATGGTTAATACTGATTTTGAAAAAAAGAAAAACAAATAGGTTCCATTGTCTGAGAGCTGTCTGACAACGTAAGTATACTACATTGTTGAATCCTCACAAGAATTCCATGATGTAGATATTATTATTTACATTTTAGCTAGGAACAATTTGAACTCAGAGAGGTCAGATAAATTACCTAAGGTCACTCACACAGGTAAGGAGTGACAGTGCCAGGATTTGCTCCAACTGTTGCCTGCCTCCTGACCCCTTGCTATTCATCGCCACATCTAACCTTCTTCCCAGGGGTCTAAGTTCATGTGGCTGTTGTGGTGAAGAGAGGGAAGAACAACAATTAACCGTTTATAATTATATTTACTTCTTCAGGAATAATGTCTTAATGAACATGACAATTTCAGCATCATAACTAATGACCGTTGGAAAAATACATTTTTCTATGCAGCGAGGCTCCCAGGTTTATTTTTCCTTTATGACAAACAAAATTCGTCATTTATACCAATTACCAGAACAACTCCTAATTTTTAGGAAATGGCCGGGGCAGAGTGCCTGCCCTCCTGATTAAACTACCTGCTAACCTCCTGCAATTGTAAAAGGCTTAGCAAGGCTTATGATCAAAAGGTTCAAAGTTCTCTACTTGATCATCTGGAAATGGGTCTGTGCTACAATAAAAGAAAAATAATGCCATAAGCTCAAGATATAAGGCTAGAACAAGAGTTTTTCTCTTTTTTTCTTGACTATTTCTAAATATTGTTTTAAATGCATTTTAGTTTTACATTGCTTTTCTTTTATTGGAACTTATCTTTTAATTCTTCCCATTCTTAATTTATTTTCTGAAGTGCTTTCCAAATACCCTTCCTATCTTTCCATCCATTCTCACTTTTTTCTTTCTTTTTTCTTCTTTTGCCTGGGAAGAGTGTCGGGACCAAATGGATAAATATATCTTTTTTTTGGTACATATTTCTACTCTTTTATAGTTTGCTTTCCTTAGGGGTTTCCTGTTTTTTTAAAAGGCTTTTTAAACCTATTCCTTAATTTTCTTCTTCCCACACTTGACCTCAATTGTACTATTTTACTATTTTTTATTTCTCTTGTCATTGTCACTTGTAATTGCATCTATTTTTTCTGCCTTCCATGCACCTTTTTTGTTTGCTTTTTTTTTTTTTCTGTTTTGCTTTTCTCTCTCTCTTTTTTTTTATCCTGCCTTCCTCTTCTTTTGTAAAAATTGCATTTTACTATAAAAACCATAATTGTTTAGATTGATCAAATTCTAGTAAGAAGGTGAATTTTTCCAGGGGTTAAATATAACCTGTTGATGACATTCTTCAGTAACTCATATACTTGTGCTTCAGAGCAAATCCTATTATCATATATATTCCTGGCTAATAATTGTTTTATTATATTTTTTAGCATCACCATCACTTTCTATTTTTATATTTTTTAAACATTGTTTTATTTTTATAAATGGCCTCAAAGTTATTTATTTATTTATTTTTAAAGTAGAAAGTAGGTGATGACTGTGTGGGGGGGTGGTGTTTGCTTTTTGATTGTGAGGAGTTATTGCTGTCATGTCAGCTAACAATTGCTTCCTTGCAATCACTGAACTAAAATGTTTAAGAAGTATTTCTGTAATAGTTGCAAAACATAATTTCCTACATGTTATAGATCCCTGTGCTTTCATGCTATATTCCATGTCTAACTGATTGAACTGTTAATATTATTTTTAAAAATTAACATGGTCTTAAGTTTTATCAGTTGATTGTAAACTTGAGAAAGATTTATGGTTCCTAAGTAATGGACACATGATAGCTTATGGAGCAACTGGATTCATTTAAAGGTCTTATCTGTGATTCCCAGATGTGTGACACTCTGATATTGACATTAGGAACCACAGATGAATTTTCAGCATTGAAACTTATGTACACACAGGTATTAGCTTATGGCACCGCTGACTGCATGGCCCGGTGTGTGCATAAGCTTCAATCATTAAAAGTAGAAACCAGCCTGCTTCCTTGGACAAAGATCGTATACGAGTACGTAGGAGTTAGAGTCTAATGGGGGCTATTCCCTGCTGGTAAGGACTTTCATGAATGCATCCTATAAAAATGCTGTTATGCTTGTTTAGGAAGATTTTATAATGCCTTCAACTAAATTGAGGGCAGGAGCCATATCAGACTTGTTCTCACTTGTATCCCTGGAGCCATGGGTGATACCTGGTACATAGTAGGTAGTTCAATGAATAAATGCAGGATAAATGAATGATGGCAGAGATAATGAAATGGTCACAATAAAAGAAAATATATTTTGTAAGGCATCATGTGGCCAGGCTAAATCCTCTTCATTATCCGAAAAGTCAGTCTGCTTCACCCTTGCCTCATATTTTCCATAAATCTATGCCATGGATAGTATATTTGCTGTAGACAATAATATTGCTTTGTTGTTCTCAAGAGTAAAACATTGAGTCAATAGCTGTCCCAGGTATGGTATGGTGTGACTTGTTAGACTGTTGTGCAGTCTTAATAATAATTACTATGATCTTTAATGATAACAATTCTTAATGAGTATTATTACTGTTAATAGTGATTATATTTAATAATTACACCCAATACTTATTATATTTAATAATAATAATTAGCACATGGGAACCAGTTGCACCATTGTATTATCTTTAGAACAAAAACCTAAATCTGTGACCCAGTAGTTTGCAGAGTATCCGCTCCCACCTTCTGCTTTCAAGATCAGAGTGAGTCAGGAGGCTTCTTAGGGTTGGGGTGACAGGGAGGGTCTTCTGGAAAAACTCCTATGCATTCCATGTGTCAGGGTCCAAAGTCCCATGTAGTCATTTTACACAGAGGTTTTATTTCTATTGTAAAGTGACTTCACCATGACTATCTGACCCTTCGCCTCCCCCATCTCTCTGCGTGCTCACCCATCCTTTATAACTTTTGATTTTTCTTGCACAAAGAAAAGAACCAGAGCAGACCTTTATTCTATAACATACTAATTTGTGTGAGTCCATGTTTATTACTCATATGCTGGTAAAACTTTGATCTTCTTCTCCCTTGGCTATGTTTAGATTTAAATGCTTGTATGATTATTTGAAAATAAAAAACAGCTTAAAAATCTTTGGTGAATTAAACATTTTTTAGCTTTTCACACTTTGATACAAAGCAGAGAAATATTTCAGTGACAACAGATTTCAACAGATTTTCAACTAGACTAATTTGCTTTATTCTTTAGGATAGTTCACTTCTTTTCTCTGAAAACACAAGAAAAGATAACTGCCTTTCTAATGGTAACTGGTATAAAGAAATAATTTTAAGGAGACAAAGTTTTGTATTTGGATGTATATTTTGACCTAAGTTAAGCGTCAGTAAAGACTTTCATGATCAGGTTATTTTCAGGCTAGTTGATGACTTATTTACCAGGATTTAAAAAAATATATATACAAGAGGGACTTCTTTTAAATTCCTGTTGACTTACTTGTACATATTCACACAATGACTTAGGCCCTGAAATCAAACATGCCTCCCTACTAAGTAAATTACAACTGGAGGCTTTGAAATACATTTCTAGACAAAAGCAGATCTGATCTGAAAATACTAGTGCTGATTAACAGTTAATGATGAAACTGTAGACATTAAAGATTCCAGGGTCTGTAAGGTCACCTTAATCTCACCTATGTGCCGGGACATCTCAGATTGATGCATTCCACCTTCTAATGACAAGAATCTGAGGACTTCTGCCACTGCCCCAGACAATTCTGTTGCAGTCTGATAGTAATAATAGAAGGGAAAATGCCCACAGCCCATACAACTAAGAGGCTTGTTTAAACTGCTGTTGATCACAGATGAATGGCATTTATAACTGTCTCTTCCCTTCTCATTGTAGTGACTGCGATTTGCTTTGTAATGTTTGTGTTTTGCTCTTGGATTTTGTCCCTCCAGGTTTGATGATTCCTGTCTTTTGTGTGGTGGAGCAGTTGGACGGCTCTCTTGAATATGACAACAGAGAAGAACACGCTGAGTTTGTTCTGGTGCGAAAAGATGTGCTTTTTAGCCAGCTGGTGGAGACCGCGCTCCTGGCCCTGGGGTATTCCCACAGCTCCGCAGCTCAGGCCCAAGGTATTAATGTATCTCCCTTCTCCTCCTGAGCCTCCTGTGTGTCATGATTTGAGGAAGAATATTTTCCCTGAAATAGTTCTCCAGACAAGGGTTGAAGGAGAATTGTCAGATTTAGCATCTTCCCAAACAGTGAGCAGCAGAATTATTTCTTGTAGAGCGTCTTGCTCTCTTGTTGTTTGGGGAATCATTTGACTAGTACCTTTAGAGACACCGAAATTAGCTTGTATTTCAAAGTGATCATCGTAGGTTTTTACATTTATAACTGTTATTTCTTCTAAGTCAGCAAATTGGTATTCCCAGGGCCAATGCTGAGATGTGACTCCTAACTTATCCAAACTTTAATACATGATTTATAAGCTTTTGTTTTCTAAATTTATTTATTGCTTTGGGCTTATGGCTTCCAAACTTTATGATCAGCTTTAAATTAAACAGAAAGAAGTGGACACATCTTACCCTTTTATATCTTTGAAAACTGTTCTATAGTTTTGATGTGGTTCATTTATTTAAGAAAAAAATCTGTCTTTGTGATCAATTCCATTTACCTATTTAATTAAATATTAAAATTGCCTCATTATTTCAGCATGTATTGTAAAATGCTGGGAAGCCCATTGTGAGCACCTGATGTTTCATTCTGAAGCATAACACATTGTTCTTTCATGCCAAAGAATGGACAAAACAAATAACAAAAATACCTCCTATAGAGAGTGATGTTAAAACACCAAGGTCAAGGATTCAGATCCCCTTACTGGCCAGCGTCCAAAAAATAAAAGTAAAATAAATATCCCTCAAACCTTGAATAATTAAAAAATTGACCCAATGGAATTATTATCCTTGTTTTTCAGCTGAAGTTATTGAATTGTATAGTTTATGATTATGGTTATGGTTATAATTTAAGGAGAGAAGTATGTAATTTCCAGGTTTTGTTTTATATATTAATTTCCTATATTACTTTTTTTACTTAGTGTTTGCATATATGCCAAGGACTTTTGCTATTTTTTAATGAGTTCCTCTTCATATCATTCCTAAGAACTATTAGTAAGAGCCTCATTTATTCTTATAAGCAAATTATGAGATCTTAAGCATTTATAGAAAGCTACAAATATGATGACCAAGGACATAGGATTTAAATTCCCAAGTTCTTGAGTCTGATTCTGTAAGTAGATCATTGCTTTTTAAAAAATATTTTAAGAATTTAAACGATGACTTAATTCTACTAAGAAGCAAACCAAGGGTCAAGTATTACCCCAGGGCAGGTAGTACCTTATGGATTATTGTGAGTCCAAGTGCAGTCTGAATCCTAGTGCTTGACCAGTTTGGGTACAGTGACATAGCTGAATCAGAGTCCAGTGCTTTCAAAGTGGCGTGGTAAAGGATTCATTTCCTTTGTCTGATGACTTTACTTCTTGTTTGAGGGATTCAGGATTTGATCCCGGGCAAATTGCATGCCAGGCACCGTTGCTTTTATTTCATGCTATGTGCCTAAATGAAATAAAAGAATCCCCTCCCTTCTCCCCATAAACTTTTCATGCCATTTTAGGGATATTTTTCTCTGAATGTAAAGGTCATTGTATCCCACTGTTTGCATCCTGGTGTGCCAGCTTCCTGTTTGACAGGGCTATCCATCTCAGTTAGCACGGCTGCTCAACGCGTCGTGATCTCACATGTGGAACACGGAGCACTAAGTGGCCAAGATTTGATTCTTGGCACATGCTGAAGGAAGGGGCTCTCAGGAAATTTGCACTAGGGAGCCACACCGTTCCTTTCAGTGATGTGGACTGAGAGTTCTACTCACCAAGGTGTAATATATACTAGCAATAAATACCATCTACAGTGGAGAGTTAAACAGTTCCCCTGAATAAAGTCAAAAGCGATTATTTGATTCCTCAAAGTTTTTGAAAATTAAGGTTAAAAAATACTAATATTACACTTTTTAAAGTTGAATCAACATTCTGAAGGTGCTCTAGATCACAGGTATACTTTATTTTGTATGTAAGCAAAGGTTTTATCACTGGGTCCTTTACTGTAATCTCACAGAAGAAAAAAAAATCACAGTTTATTTTGTTTTAAATTAGGCTGCTGATCTGTTTTGGGTAAATGGAAAAACAGAATTGTTTATTTTGAAATGAATGTATTAGGTCCTTGTCATTCAGATCATTAAAAGTATGCAGTTTGCTGTATGTTTATGATAGACCAAACGGCATGCATAATAAGGCAGGTCCTTCATGTGCCGGACAAACAGGAAAGAGAAAGGTAGAAGATGAGGTAGAACAAAATATGACTTTTTGATGATTAAATGCATGAAGTTTTATGTGTGTAGTTTTCTTTCTTATTTGGTTTTGGTTTTGTTTCTTTGTTTAGTGTTTATGTAATTCCCCCAATATAGGGGCATCACTGGGGGACCTCCTGACAAATTCATTTGCAGCAGAGAAACTGTGTGTTCTTGAATCTGTCCTTCCTATGCTGGAAAAGATGAGCAGGACTAAACTGCAAGGATAGCAGGTTGCTTGAGCCTATTTTAAAAAATTGAGGTTCTGGAAACACGATTTTTCATTTTGACGTGACCAGAAAAGAGTTTCAGTAACTGAATTGCAAGAGTATTTCAGATTGCCTGTAAAAGAGAAAATACATTAGCAATGTCATTATTTTGAAATGGTGCTCAAGTCTCAATGGACCTGTGCTCTTATAAGCATGGGTTAGTAGATTTCTTTTTCTGAGAGGGTATTCCTTCCAGGTGAGGTGAAGAAATTTTATTAAGAATATTTGCTTCTAAAGGATAATAGAAATCTAAAAATAAAAGGAAGTTTAGGAATTCCTCTCCACCCCCCTTATTAGCAGTAACCTTTATTTGAAGGCCAGATATTAGGACCCAAGAGAGAAGAAGGGCACAAAATGCTGTCATAAATCATGGGAACTGTGTTTCTAGTTGACCCATACTCTCCATTTCCCAATACACACACCACTAACTCTGATTTTCAAGGATATGAGATACAGTATTCATCAGACCTGCTGTTTTGCATATGCAAGAAGCCAAAAGCTGGCAGGCTTTTTGTTTTTCCCAGAATAGGTAGACTAGGGTCTAATGAATGGCAGGAACTTTTTAACACTGTACAATGGACTGTGAGTCCATGTCTGTGCATCAAAAGTCTTAGAGTCTTTTGGAAAAGGGTTGTTAACCCAGGGTACTACTGCTATTTGGGAAGCATCAGATATCCCCCCTCCCACCCTGCACTGAAACTCACCACTCCCTTTCTTCTTTCTTCTTTCCTTTTCATCCTTTCAATTCTGCCCCATAAGCCTTTTGATATTAGCCTTGGGTCTCTCCACACTGTCCAGAGAGTTCTTTAGCTCACTGATTAAGTAGCTATTCATACTTGCCAACTTGAATGGTAGACTTTGGGAGGCAGCTATGATGGCAAAGAGATGCCTCACTGTGCGTATTTGATGTAATTCATAAGTAGACATTTGATCTCTCCCCTGCTTTCTGTAAATTTTTAAATGTTTTAAAATTTATTTTTGACCAGAGAATTTTATTTAAAGATGAACATGCTGAGCAATAAATAAGCAAAAATTTCTTTTCTAACTGGGTGTTTTGGGAGTTGAAATTATGGATTCAAGAAGGAGGTACATGAAGCATCATTATTTCTTATTTGTGTTGAAGTATTACTTTTATACAGTCATCTTAAATGGTATTTTTAAAAAGTGGCACGGAAAAATATATTTAATAAATGTTGCACGAATCAAGCAGGGTGGCAAATACCTTCTCACTTATATAAAATTCCACATTATATGCATACAAGAAAAACAAAGGAAATATATTAACACGTCAATAGGGTGGGTGGTGGGATTATGTGGGATTTTCTTCTTTTTCTAATTAGGAAAAAATATGTTAAGTATGAGATTCTACTTCCTCTGTGAATTCGTCACTGAATAAGTGGGACGTTGTTGTCTACCTTATTTCCCAGTCTTTGATAAGCAGTTCACTTTGTGCCTAATTTATCCGTAAGTGTGAAAATTTATACATGATACAGATGCATTTCTGTTGTTTTTTTGGTGAAAGATTAAACAAAAGAAATAATAAGTCATTAACGTGCTTCTGTGATGTATAAACCAAGGGATTTCTTAGAATTTTAATAGTGCTAGGTAACAATGTTGGGCACTATTCTAAGAGATTTACATGCATTGACTCATTTAATTTTCACAACAGCCATTTGAAGTGTATTATTGTATGTTTCCCATTTCAGAGAAGAGGGAACTGAGACAAAGAAAGAGAGGGAACAACTATCCCAGGGGCACAGGCCGGTGGTTGGGCAAGCTGAGGTCTGAAGCCCATTGATCGACCTCCAGAGTCAGGGTCCTTTATCACACAGGCTGTCCTGTGATGGACCTGATAGCTGGCAGTTTAGAGTTGGGGTAGGAACGAATTCTTACTTAATATTTGCTCTTTACTTTTTGACATAAACCCTAAAAGGCAGGACTTTTTGGATGGGGTATGTACTAAATACATGATGATTATATATATCAGATAATGATAATATTATATATATTTCATTTTCATGATGAAATATGTAGAGATACCTTTTCCAGGTAACTGAGACAGACTTCATTAAAAACAAACGAAAAACCAAACCTCACAGAATTGTCATCTATTGAAGCCAAGTTCTAAACCTAAATAAGAGGGCCTATAGTAGGCTGAGTAATTCAAATGTATGGTTCTTATGAGGCCAAAATGAGTCCTGATATAAAACTAAAGCATATTCCTTAGCAATTATGACCTTTAAATTAATTAATTCGGTAGTATTAAATGCCTGCCATGTGTCAGTCACTTCTAGCTTTTGCAGGTAAAGAACTGGAAAGAACCCTGCTTTCATGGAGCTTACATTTTGTGGTTTAATCATGCATGAAAAGTTTAGTGTGTGAAGTTATAAGCTGATTTTGGACCATCTGAGCTCAGAAATATTGAATGCTGAAGTTCAGAGAAAATAAATGCATGTAAAATTTGT